TTTGCCCAGATTCTTGCATAATAAGTACTGGGAAGAAAATATAAGTTGCTAGCCGTCCCAAGGTTTTGCCAAGCACCACTTCAAGACATGGTGGTTAAAAAACATCATGTATTTGTTAGATAGCAAAGCTACCATAGACTTTTGGGGGAAAGGCTGCCACAAACACTGAAAAGCAGAAATAAATATCAGTACTGTAGTTCAAAACTCCAAGCAGTACCTAATAATAAATCTGATTTAAAAACAAGGAAATTGGCAACTGAGTAGGAATGTTGAACAGCAAGCAAAATACAGTCATTTTTTCCATCCCTTCTGACTCTTTTAACCACAAAAAATCATGTCTGACAATAGAAAATGCTGACACTTTCAATTGCCAAAAACAAAATAAAACAACCTTTAACCCAAGCCTTTGTCCTCTCATCAGCAAAACAAACATTCTCCATTATTATTGTATCAAGAATTAACTAATATTTAAGCAATCAAGCCTATCATAAGATATTTGAAGAAATGAAATTTCCAGAACGTCTCTTTTCTGTAGCATTTTTCATAGCCGCTGTGTTCCTGCAAAACTCTGCAATGGCATCAACTACATTGTGGTTTGGTTATTTATGCCAGTTGAGAATTTAGGCACAAGATTTGTAACTTGATCATCAGAAATTGGCTTTGTGTAGCCCCAAAATTGTTTCTTCACCAGCCCAGCCCAACACCGTGTTACCATTGTCTATGAGACAGAATAAAACTAAGTTTAAAAGTTTGCATACTACAATTTATAAAAATCACATTTAGAAAAAAAAATCTAGGACCTCATTCAATTCATAATGTAATCAAGAACAGTGCAAGATTTCAATTAAATTGAATTGATTTACTCTAATTGGATCTGCTTTTGCTTCACTAGATGATTAATCATGGTATATTTAATGTTGCAACAAAAACTACTCCCACAAATGTCTTACCATGTTCCACCAGCCCAGAATTCTTCAAAATAATTATGTTTGATAAATGGAATGTACAGTACCATATTTCTAACTATTAAATATTGGAGGGAACAGATTATACCTCTTACATTTGAGGCAGGCAGTAAATATATTTTTGCAAAATTTTAATTCCCAATAGATTTTATGTTGTTTTTTACTACTGTATTATTGGGTCCCTTTTCCCCTCCTCACAAAATATGCTCTTTGCAACCAAATGCATGTTTAATTTTTAATTGCCCAGATTATTCCCCTTTCATCTAGACTAGAGGTGGGGAACTATGGCCCCTTTATGACTTATGGACTTCCGCTCCCAGAATTCCTAAGTCAGCATGGTTCCCCACCCCTGATTCTAGATCAAAAATACAACATGTAAAATTAAGAGATAAACTGAGAAAGAGGTTTTCCCAATCCATCAGTATTTCAAATATCCTGTCAACCTTTGAATCTATCCATGCCTTAAGGAATAAATATATATTTTATTTAAAAGACAACTTTCTTAGAAACTATACACGCACATGCACAAGCATCAAAAAAAGATACAAGCAGAAAACAATAAGAATAGAAACCTGGCATCACAACCAATTCCCATCAATACAGCCAGCCTCAGCATCTTCGGGCTCCAACTCATCCTGTTTGAGTAGTTGGGGGAAGAACCAGGACTTCATTGCTTTCTAGAAGGTCAACCATGTGAGTGGCAGATCATAAGGGGAAGATCATAAGGGGAAGAATGCCACAGAGCAAAGGTTGACATGGAAAAAGCATGCTTCATGGGTCCCATTAGATGGTAAAAATTGAACGGGACCTGGAGCACAAGTACTCTATTTGAACTGGTGAAACAGGCAGATACCCTCAGGGAGTTTTTCAAATAACCTGGCACCATGCCACATAGAGCTTTAAAGATGATAACCAACAACACTGCAACTCCAAACTAGTTGCTAACTTCAATGTGGTCTTCAAGGGCAGCCCCCCGGAGAGCAGACTACAGCAGTCAGCCAAGTGGCCAAGGCATGAGTGACCATGAGCAAGACCACCTGGTCCAGAAAAGGAGACAATTGGCAGACAAGATGAATCAATGCAAAGACTACGCTAGCCATGGCTGCCACCTGCTCCTTGACAAGTAGTCATGTGTATAGGAGATCTCCCAAATTGTCCAACCCCTAAATCCAGTATCATTTCCCCCATCTGGAGTATAAAATGACACATCAGGAGGCCATGGAAAGTCAAAAGCAAGCTATTGCATCTTGCTAAGATTGAGCCAGAGTCAATCCTTCCCCATCCACACCTCACAACTTCCAGGGACCGCACTGCAACATATCAACTGCCCAGCCCAGGGTATATATATATATATGCACTGCAACATATCAACTGCCCAGCCCAGGGTGTGTGTGTCTGTGTGTGTG